ACTGGGAGCAGGATAAAATGCCCATCTGTCGAGCCAGCCGGAAAATAGGTTAATTCACAAGTTTAGATTTATCCTGGTTCAACAAAATGGGGCCTTTCGATACTATGGACGATCTTGGTTCGTGTAACTTAAGTTGATCCAAGAAAAATTCTTGTCTTCAGCAATGAAAAGAGCGACAAGTGTGGCTGAACTTGCCGACAAAGAAACATCAGTTATAAATATGCCGGTACGGTAAGCTGTTGATTTAAGTACTATGAAGGTAAGAGACGACACGACAGCGGTATGGCTGTTTGGTTTGGCTGTTTGCAATTGATGGTAAGTAAAGGTAATTGCCTTCGTTCCATATATGAGCTTAATAATTAAGCGTATGTTGCAGTGCTAGTGTATTATTACAGTTGAATTCTAGGTTAATGATTACAACAACAGGGAATATAAAACTCTCGTTTCAGATAAAGTGCGCCTTTCTGCTTAGGTTTCTTTAAGTTTGCCGTGTTGTCGACAGGCTGTTCGCGATCGTTCACTTTGTGTTTATTAATCTTTATTTCACTTGATTTCGAACTTTAAGTGATCAGCATGGCTTCTGCAGAGGAGAATATTCTTCTCAGTCGTTTACTGGATCTTTTTCGTGAAGATCCAGATAGGATAACATCTTTGGTCCAAGCGGGAACTAGCCGTGAGAGTATTGCAAACAACTCGTCGAGTCCGAGCTCGACCGCAAGCTCTCCTGCAACCGACTCACCTGGGTCACGATCAAGTGACCCTGAAATTGATCTACCTGCAGCGAACTCTGCCACGTTCACTGCTGATGAGCTGCTGAAGCTGAGAAGCCGCAGGATGAAGGCAACAGCTGCTAAGCAGACTTTTGCTGTGAGTGATGAACTGAAGTTGTTTGCACGTGCAAAGGAAAGAATCGATTTGTAAACAATTTTGTATTTTTTTTTCAGTTTATTCTATGAGAAGCCGCAAAGAAATGCGAAATTTGGGAGAGTGCCCCGCATATTAAAGTCATCCCGGCGAAAAACATTGCCAAATTTGAGAAAAAGGTGAGGGCCGGATCTCGTGGTTTATATTGAATTGCAACTTAAGTTTCCCGCTCTTTTGGAAGGCTTATCTTATTACTCTTTGTAACGCCGGATGGTCATTCTTACTATTGATCAAGCTTTTTAAAAGTTTTGTTGTCATCTTTTAACGCCTTTTATGTGATTTATTATAGTTACTAAACGCCCACAAGGCTTACTGGGACATGAAAGCTATTGAAATCAGTGCTTAATACTCTTGCACTTTCCCGCCGTTTTTTTGTTGAACTTTAATTCAAGCTTGTTATACCGCTGATGTCGACTCTCTGAGTGCCTCAGTGTGAGAAAGTAAACTCCAACCGAGAAGAAGTTTTAATATTTCATTAGGGACATCCATAAAACTCTACCAATTTCCTCTTCATTTATATATTATCAATATTATTATTGTTGTTGTTGTTGTTGTCGTTATTATGAATTATTATTATTTTATCCTGGATTGTTACAGTATATACCTAGCTTTTTGCACACCAGGGATGGGATGGATTTTGTGCAAGTTATTTATGAACAGGGAATTAAATATTGCATGAATTTTCATACATTTCCTAAATTACATAATAAATTGTGGTACAGTACATGTAATTACTTTATTGTGCTAGCATTATATAAACAGAACTACTCCTATCACATCTCACATGGATAAGAACTGAAATCTGATGATTCAAAACTCTTAATTTGTATTCAGTTACTATTGGATTACTTGGATCCCTGA